CTCTTTGGAATAATTCTAAATTACCTGCCTGCCATAAATCTCTCTCTTTAATATACATAAAGCACTCTCCCACCTAAAGAAGCACATAGTAATTGCTCTAAAAGCTCACATTAAACTTACTCAGTAGCATCTCTTTTAAAGGACAGAACATTGCCTTAATGATGTGGCTAGTTGAAATACATTTTTGGAGTATGATTTGGGAATTGGATTAGTGGCAATTCTGGTCTTTGTCAGTGATGGCAGAATAAGGGAGATTCTTGATAGAAACTCCAGAAAACCTACACCTCTGACTGCACAATGAAATACAATACATCATCTGCTTCTATAAGTTAGGAGAATAGATTTGTTCTATCATTAGCATCCCCGCCCTCCTCCCCGTACCACCCAAGAGAGTCATAGTAAACAATGACAAAATGCAGGTTCTCATGAAGCTTACATTCTCCAGGGACTAAAGAAACAATATGGTGCAGGGGGAAAAAGTAACATACCAACAAATAAAAGACAGTGAAGAAGACCCTGAAGGAAATCAAATAAGGCACACAATGTTGCCTGCCATTAAGCCACCAGCTATTGCAGCAGCTCCTACAGTGTACCCTGAGGGGAATTCAGGAAGGAGAAAAAGTGGATATTGGCCCTAGATAGTAAAGATGTATATCAAAGGGATGATATCAAGAAGCCAGACTCTTGCACATTCCCATACATAGAAAAGCGGTAAAATCATTACCCTGAGATGAAGGGTTTTTTGTGTGATTATCAATATAATAATCTTTTGATGTTCTACTACATTTTTTCCAGTAAAAATCCTATATATCCTGGCTTCCCTTTCATCTCTTTGGAACAGTTCATCTGAGCTATCTGAGAGACTTCTTAGTCTATAGTCTTAGTCTTCCCAGGCTATAGTCCTCAGCAGGGTCTCAGAATAAAACACAACCCACAACTGTTAGGTTATGGGGTTTTGTTTTTAGTTGACAAAGGCAAACAGGATAGGGAGTGTGGGGCTTAGGAGGGCTACTTCAGATGGGGGGGGTGTCTGGGAGGGCTAATGATAACGCAACATCTGGTTGTATATGTACATGATGAGATGCTGTGCACTTAGTTTGCTCAGTTGTATCTGACTCTGTGGTTACATGGACCATACCCCACCAGCTTCTCTCTCCATGGAATTTTCCATGCAAGAACATTGGGGTAGGTTGCCATTTCGTACTCCAGGGGATCTTCCCAACCCAGGGATTGAACCCTCATCTCTTGTGACTCCTGAATCAACAGGTGGATTCTTTACCATTAGCACCACATGGGAAGCCCCTTGTACATGGTGATAAGTATCAATAGATACATATGGTGGTGCAGAAAAAAGGGATCATTTCTCGAGCCTGTAGGATATTCAAACTGCTTCAACAGTCACCTGGTGGATAACGGTGCCCTCTTACATTTAAGCTCAAACAGGAGAGTGAATAATCAGCTGAGAAGTAAGAGGTCATTTTTTTAGTTTGATATTTCCCTTTCGTCACAAATGCCTCTCTGAGTAAGCTAGTCCACCTTGTTCTTTGCAAAGAAGAATTTAAAGCCACAAAACAAAAAACCCTAAAGGGGCACCATGTTCAAGAGGCTCACTCAGCAGTGCACTCCACTAACAACAATGGTTGCTTCAGAGGAATAGACCATTATGGGCTTATTGCTATTACCGTGCAGTGGGAGGCAAAAATGGTTTAGAACCCAGGCATTAGGTGGGATATCAACAGACAGAAGCAAAGATGAACAAAATAGTCACTGCATTTTCCATGGCAGGCTGTCAAATAACAGCTTCATAGTATTCGACTGTGTGAATTTCAAAATCTGAAACGCTCAGTCAGATTTTGTTTTCAAAACCCAATAGCTAGGGGCTTCCATGGTGGTCAAGTGATTAAGAATTCACCATGCAATGCAGGGGAAATGGGTTCAATTCCTGGTCTGGGAAGATCCCACATGCCACAGAGCAACTAAGCCCATGCAACCCAGCTGCTGAGCCTGTGCTCTCGAGCCCAAGAACCGCAACGAGAGAAGCTACCGCAATAAGAAGCTCTGAGCCACAGCTCGAGAGTAGCCCCTGCCTACTGCAACTAGAGAAAAGCCTGTACCACAACAAAGACTCAGTGCAGCCAAAAATAACAATAAATAAATAATTAAAAAGCCAAAACCCAATAGCTAAATATTGACGATGCAGTTTTGCTCTCTGGCGGGGCTGACTTCTGGCTTCCTTGGGTCAAGGTTATGGGGCCATCACTGCATACTATTTTATCACTGTGGAACAGCAAGACTAGTAAATATCTACAATCTGAGAAGACTCATAGGATGTTAACAGTGAAGACTCAAAAGCCCCAAACACAAAGATTCTGTCAGTAGATTCAGAATAAAAACAGAATCAACCTTTCTATTAAAGTAACATGAAAAGTAATTCTTATGTAGGTAATATAAGAGTCATACTTAGAAAAAATAGATTAGACAACTTTTGATATGTAGACTTGTTCTAAAAGGACAGTTTTCAAAACTATGTCATCCACCGAGATTATAGTTGTATGTACATGCATGCCCAGTTTAGTCACATCCAACTCTTTGTGACACTATGGACTGTAGCCTACCAGGCTCCTCTGTCCATGGGATTCTCCAGGCAAGAATACTGGAGTAGGTTGCCATGCCCTCCTTCAGGGAATCTTCCAGACCCAGGGATCGAACTCATGTCTCCTGTGTTGCAGGTAGATTCTTTACTGTTGAGCCACTGGGGAAGCCCAGCTGTATGTACAGCTGACTCTTAAATCCTGGGGGTTAACAGTTCCAAACCTCCCTCGAAGTGGAAAATCCATGTATAATTTATAGTCAGCCCAGATACATGCACTTCTGCATCTGCAGATTCCACCAACCACTGATCTATATTACTATAGTATTTACTACTGAAAAAATGCCTATATAAGTGAACCCTCCCCATTCAAACTTCTGTTACTCAAGGGTCAAATGCATGTGGATGCTTTCTTTTAGCCATTTAATATTACACAAAGGGTTTGAGATGGCCCAGGTAATTCATATGGGAGAAATCCTGTGATCACATAGGAAACAACTGAAAGATGTCCAAAAGAATATAATCTATCAAAAACTGTAAAAAAATAAAAAATAAAAAATTTCCAAAAACTGTAATCTAAAAACAAACAAACAGCTTAAGCTAAAATACAATGGTAATAATGATAAGAACCACATTCAACAATTTATATCTGAGTGCTTTACTCCAAAAATTATTCCAACATCACCACCAAAGCTAACAAAATCATTAAAAATTTTGATCAGATCGCTGGGACATGAAAAAGTAGTCAGTACTAGAGTCAGAGGGTCTACAGCCACGGTAGTCAGCCATACTAGATTCGGTGCTTGTTGGGTTTTTTGCTTTTATTTTTTAAGTTTTATTGCCATTTTTAATTGATATACAATTCAAATAACATAAAAGTTACCATTTTCAAATGCAGTAGGTTTTAAAAATATTCATAATGTTGCACAACTATCACCACTAATTCCACCAGTAATCATCCCCAAAAGAAACTCCTTCTCAGTACTCATTTCCCATTCCCTTTTTCCTACAGTCCTTGGTAACCACTAATCTACTTTTTGTCTCTATTCAGTGCCTGCTTGCCTAGGAAAGATTTTAATGTTCCATTCAGAATCCTGAAATAAAATTTTGAGATCGTATAACCTATACAGTCATATACATTTCAGCTGTTTCCTTCGTGTACTCTACCAACCTGCACACGCCTCTTGACAAGGTCTGAATTTCTCCCCTGTTACTCCTATGCCTTTGCAGTGTTCTGTGAATGGCTGAAGGAATTCCATTAAATAGATACTGCACAAAGTAAGCATCTAACTCATCTGCTAGTTTGGGGATTTATATTTGAATATTGATTTTTTTAAAAGTCTAGCAACTGGATTTCTGTTTTTCAAAAAACAATTTCAAAATGAAGCTACTCCTATTAGACTTTTTTTTTTCCTTTCTTTCTTTCTTTCTTTCTTTCTTTTTTTTTTTTTACCATCTGCATGTTTGGAAGCTAGGCACAGAGGTTGAGAAAAGCTGAGAATCCCATCTTTATCACACTGTGTGTCTGGAGCAAGGCTAAGCTCTTTTTTATCATAAGGAATTACATTTGCTCCTTAAAGAACTTCCCAGAGATTCTATGTTAAAAGCCCCGTGGTAGCTGTGTTAAGCATTATAGCCACATGCAGATGAGCATCAAAGGCGCAGTAAGTTTATTTGGCATTGCTTGGTACCAAGCATTATCTTACTTGCTCACATCCAGTCTCACAGCCATAAAACCTTATTTCACAAAAATGTAACATTAACACCCCAGTTAGACTTGCTTCTGATTTCTAACATGGAGGGGGAAAAAAAAGAACTTTTCTATGATTTTGGCTTAGGAACTAACTCTATAGGAATTTGCATTTGTATGAAGGGGACTAAAACTCAGCTTCAGAATCATCCAGGATTTCATTCTCTTGTTTTATTTTATTAAGAAAGCAGACACTATCCTAATAAATCCTCCTTCCCTCTTCAGGCGCACTTAAAACCCATTTCTGAGCTCCACTGACTGTCACATTGAACTTTGGTATTAAGGACAAAGGGAGGGAAAGAGTAGGGGTGTGGGTGGAGAGAAACAGAACAGAGGGGAGCACAGGGTGAGGAGTTAAGGGACAACTCAAATGCGGGGCCAGTGCATGAGCAAGCCCTCCACTCAACATCAGCAAAGCACAAAAGAGATGGCATAGAGAACTAGAAGGCTGTCAGTGGGGCCCCGGCCTCACAGGAGACACAGCAATCCATACCGGATTTCTATGCTGTTTCCTAGACACCACCTCCCATGAGCTCCTTGAACCCTGGCTTGCATTTCAGGACTCTGTGATTTAGTTTCTGTTTGAGCATTTGGACAATAATAATTTTACTACAAAAGGTAAATGTCTTACAAACTAATGGGAAACATATTGCTTGGCAAAGTTTATAATGTCAGGATTTATGGCTCTAACGCCAAGGGTCTCTCTGACCTCGAAGATAACATAGTGAAACAGTAATGTGCTCTAAATGACTCAGTGTGATTTTTTATTAGTTCTCGTAATCACTCCCTATTAATTTGTATGTACATAATAAGCACTCACCTTCACCGTCTGTCCAGCTTCAGGGCCATCCTAGAAATAGGAAAACAAAGGGAAAAAAAAAAAACACAGAGGTAAGAACAGATAGATGGTATCTCCTGCTTATTCAGAAATACCACCCATTAATAATTTAGATCCAATTTCATTGTGTGTTAATTTATAGTTTCCTCATGGGGACCATGAGCTTCAAATGTATGGAACCTGAGAGTTCTCCATTTCTGTCTGGGAGTAAGTGAGAAGTTATGTATAAAAATGACACAAATTGTTCAGTGAGCCAACCCCCTTCCTACTTGTATGTTCTTTGCTTTCGGCTATGGTTTTAATGGCATTAAAGGAAGACTGGAAAGAATCATACCTTTTGGTTATCTTTAAACCAGATGTAGTTTAATTAATGCCTGATGACTTTAAGTCTCAACTTAGGAAATCTGCCATAAACATAATCCATTGGGCAAGAATATGGGCTCTCACACAGCAACAGAAGGGAGAGGGGGCCCTTCCTGGCTGTTCTGACCTTGAGAGAAAAGGTGAAAGGAAGTATTATTCCAGCTGGACTCTGTCCCTATCCTGGGTTCTCCCCTGGGATTTCAGAAGCCCAACAAAACTGTTTGTTGAAATAGTTGAAAATAGGCAAACAAATCCAGTCATTAGCCAGAGCCAGACATCCTGGATGTCAAGTCAAGTAGGCCTTAGGAAGCATCACTACAAACAAAGCTGCTGGAGGTGATGGAATTCCAGTTGAGCTATTTNAGGAACATGACTTTATGTGGAAAGCTGGCGGACTGAGAAGATGGCAGACTAACGTCTCAAAATAACCATCTTGTCAGGGTCTGGATGCCAGGGTCTTTTATAAAACAGAGAGGGGGAAGAGGTGAGGAGATAAAGTAAAAGGCCATCAGTCTTGCAAATATCTCCTGGAATGGCCAGCCTCAGGATGGGATATGTTAATTTCTTCCTTCCTGTAGTCATCCAGCATGTTAAAAAGCAGAGACATTACTTTGCCAACAAAGGTCCATCTAGTCAAGGCGATGGTTTTTCCAGTGGTCATGTATGGATGTGAGAGTTGGACCATAAAGAAAGCTGAGCACCGAAGAATTGATGCTTTTTAATTGTGGTGTTGGAGAAGACTCTTGAGAGTCCTTGGACTGCAAGGGGATCCAACCAGTCTATCCTAAAGGAGATAAGTCCTGGGTGTTCATTGGAAGGACTGATGTTGAAGCTGAAACTCGAACACTTTGGCCACCTGATGTGAAGAGCTGACTTATTTGAAAAGACCCTGACGCTGGGAAAGATTGAAGGCAGGAGTAGAAGGGGATGACAGAGGATGAGATGGTTGGATGGCATCACCGACTCAATGGACATGGGTTTGGGTGGAGTCCAGGAGTCGGCGATGGATAGGGAGGCCTGGTGTGCTGTGGTTCATGGGGTTGCAAAGAGTCAGACATGATTGAACGACTGAACTGAACTGAAAGCAAAAGTAAATGTTCATCTGTTTTGTACTAGCAGAACAAGCAGTATTTTTAAAGTCAGAAATTTCAAAATTAAAGTAGAACTCTGCAAATTTAGGAAAGTCTTTTGACTCCTAGGACCCAGACTATCTGGGGTGAGAATTTGTGCCTTACTGTAGCCAAGAAGAAGCAGACCTGTGTCATCAATGGTTTTCAGACCTGTTGGTTCTCAATCCATTAGTGGGTCCTAAAGTCAACCTGATGGATTGTGATGTGCACTACAGACAAAAGAAATCATGTAAGAGGAAGAAAACAAAAGGAAAACAAAACTACTGTGTTGGCCAAAAAGTTTGTTTGGACATTTTCTTTTTTATGACATCTTACAGAAAACTCTTAATGGACTTTTTTGGCCAAGCCAGCATCAGGCTGCATGTGTGCTCAGTCGCTCAGTCACGTCTGACTCTTTGCGACCCCACGGACTGTAGCCTGCCAGCTTCCTCTGTCCATAGAATTCTCCAGGCAAGAATACTAGAGTGAGTAGCTGTTCCCTTCTCCAGGGGATCTTCCTGACCCAGGAATCAAACCCAAATCCTCTGCATCTACTGTACTGGCAGGTTGATTCTTTATCACTGAGCCACATGGGAAGCCAATATTACATTGCACAAAATGGGGAAACATTGTCATGGGAGAGAGGTCAATGTGAAAAGGATGAAAAATACTTTCTGAGCTCTGTGTATACTCACCTGCATGGAGAACGTGAGCGAGGTGCCCTGGAAGTGCTTCTCCACCACTGTGCCGACTCTCTGTGCAGCCTGAAACAAGTCAGCCACTTCTTCGGGACTCATGTCTCGGAAGCGCTCCACTGGCCGGAGAGGACAAATGAGGACATCTGCAGTGAGGTCTGTTAAGGTACATTCTGTTTGCTTTAGGGAACGTTTTCGCCAAGAAGTTTATACCCATAGCACTGAATCAGGCCCGGGGCCTGAACTCACAAAGGCGAAGGGATAAAAGAACAAATATTTACCAACCACTGAACTCCAAGGAGTTCAAACAGAGCTGACAAACATGGCTAATTATACTCTGAAGGAGAAGCTATAGTGCCCTGAGAATGTTCTTTTAAGAGAAAAAGACATCAATGTTCAAAAAGGCTTAAGTGCTGGCTGAAGTTATTATGCCATGAGGCACAATCTATTCTGGACCATTATCTCCTGGACTCTATTCTGAAGCTCAGTCTTCTCAAGGAGCCAAAGGCTCTGGGTTGGAAAAGCAACTGGAATATTTATTTGGTTTTTCTATGAAGAGCATCATGGTTAAGACTTTAACATCTCTCTAGAAGAATAGCTAATGAAAAGATAATAGCAGCTTTCTTTTTTAAAGGAGTATAGACATTCTGAAAATGTACAGCCAACTTCATTTATAACAAGGAGATGTGCCACATGGGTAAGCAATTTAGGTTGTCTGATTGTGCAATTGAAACCATCTTAATCCATTCTATTAGTCAGACTAGTCAACATGTTTACATTATTGGTCTGAACAAACAAAAGTCTAGAGAAACAGCATACATGTTTGATCATTTGTGGGTAGCAAATAAATATTCAATGTCACATCATCGATAACATTTCACTTCCTTTTTGTATTTGAACTCATCATATATGTATGGGCATACACATAGACACATGTACACATACATATGTACACACACACAAGCTACCCTGAATTTCTTGCTTATTTTTCAGGTACCAGCAGGAGAAAAAAAGCTAACGTTCTTTTCTGTGTCTTTCGCTTTTCTTGTTTTAAAAAAAAAGCATGCTTCTGCCTTGAGCCAAGGAGCTAAGGGGCATAATAAAACCACAAGTTTGCAATTGCCAGTCTCTCCAGAATATCAAGCATTTTAGCTCCCCATACTATTGGTAGGACTCAGGGCCCAGGGGAAGTGCACTGAGCTCAGCTGGGCGGGTTTGATTTCCATAAGACAAGGGGGGAAAAGAAAAAGGGAAAAGTGATTACTTTTGCTCATAACCAGGAAATTCATGTCAATGGTAAACTAGGAAAAGGAGTATTTGTTTAATCTCAGTTCATTTTTCAAGAGAGGAGAAGGGAGGCCTTTACCCACAGGGCATCTGATACTTAAAAAGATAATTATCCTTCTTTGCAGGGCTGCTTTATTATCATGGGTCAATGAACCGTTTAGAAATGAAGAATTTCCTTTCATTTCCTTTTAGCAGATTGCCAGCCTCCACTCCCACTGAGTTGCTTTTTTTTTTTTTTGGTCGTTGTTAAAAGAGACCTTTCCCAGTCTTCCTCCTCTCTGCTTTAATTTACACCCTCCCTTAGGCTCTGACTTCACCAAACCACAGCAAGCTGACAACTTTGCAAGCTTCCAACAACATTCATAATTACTGTGGCTGGCGATGTCTACACACAGCAACTAGGTGGGGAAGGGAATAATATTTTATTTAAACAACTGCTGACTGTGAAAACGGGTGGAATGAATCTGGCAATCTTTGTGTATAATGTAAATTTAGTAATATGAATAATATGTAAAATGTTTTTCATTTTCAATGTCATAAAAATAGCAATACCTGTTCATTTTGCTTGCCTGATGCTAAAGGCTTAGCTTAACCTAATGTTTAATGACTCCAACTGTTTATGAAACTGAACCAAAATGGCAGAATTGAGGTATTTTATCTTATGTATATCAAACTGCAGGGTGATACATCACATACATTTATCATTTTAACTGAATATTAGTAATACAACATGTCACAAAACAGTTAAACGGACTTAACACATTCTCATTTAGGTAAATATTTTTCACCAACCCATTTAGGCAACACTGTCCTGACGTAATATTCCCGGCAACCCAACGCTTTAATAAAAAGTCATCTTACCTGCATATAACACACACACACACACACACACACACACATATCTTGATGCAAAAAAAAAAAAAAGGTGAAATGGAGATTACTGTCAAACGTGCTTACTTCAGCTGGTAGTCATATGTATGATCACTTCTTTGTTCTGTTGGGACCCTGAGGATGACCACACAGACATCTAAACCTAGAAATGACCCATACAGGCGGGCTCCACGTCACTCTACAGGGAGTCAGTGGGGCCTGGCGTTACACATAGTGGGGGTCGGCAGCCCCTGGGTGCAATGTGAGTAGCTGATCTGGCCAGTAGCAGGCTTGCTCAGCAACCCACTCCCTGGGGTCATTCCAGGCACCAATTTGGCATCAGAAAGTCAGGATCAACGATCTTCTCTCAGTTCCTCTGCATCCAGAGCAGAGCCTGAGTCTCACCCTCAGCGTAGGCTGCATCCCGAGTGATGCTTACCCACCTTCCGAGTCTCTTTTTCCTCACCACTCTCCTGTATACTATGTTGTTGCTGTTTAGTTGCTAAATCATGTCTGATCTTTGAAACTCCATGGACTGTAGTCTGCCAGGCTCCTCTGTTCTTGGGATTCTCCAGGCAAGAACACTGGAGTCGGTTGCCATTTCTGCCTCCAGGGGATCTTCCCCACCTAGAGATCGAACAGCATCCCCTGTCTGGGCAGGCGGGTGCTTTTCCACCGACTCACTTGGGAAGCCCTTGTATACTAACCATCTGCGATATTTGCTTTCTTTCTGTTCTCCAAACACACTAAGCTCCTTCCTAGATTTGGGGGGTTTTGTTCCGGTTATTTGTTCTGACTGGATCAATTCCCCCTGATCTTTCCATGGCTGCTTCTAATTCAGATCCTAATCTGAATGCCAGTCTCTCAAAAGAGCATTTAACTGCTAGGGTGTTTATCTGCTACCTATACTCACTCTTCCATCCCCCTTTTTTAATCTTTCCATAGCCCTCGCCACCAGCTGGCACTTTTGTTGCTTCATTACTATGTATTCAGATGAGAATGGAAACTCCACACAAGAGAAGCATGTGTCTTGTTTACTGCTAATTTACCACCACCTACACCACCAGAGATACTTAATATGTCTTGCTGGAACGAGAGAATAAATAGCAAACCAGATCTTTGCATCAGGCACTTCCGAGGACTAAGATCCTGACGAAACGGTGACGACTTTACAATCATTTACACGAGATTGGGATAGTCTGCAATATATGTTTTTAATTCAAAGAAGTTTATCCTTCAGATCTAGCATGGTTAGAACTAATGTTGGATGAGAGCTAGAGAAACGTCAACTCATTTTTAATGTAAACTAATTTTCATGTGAGCCCAAAGGGAAGTAAAACTATAAAGGTAAAATCCTTTAAAAAAAAAAAAAACTCTCTTATACCTGGAAAATAGTCGTTCCTACCTAGAATACTCGGGGTCTCAGACAAACTTTATCTATTAAAGCTCACACAGCAATAAAGACCCAGCATGTTCAAAAAATTTTTTTAAATGAATAAATAAAATTAACTCACAACTCTCATATTAAAAAGGAGAAAATAGCATACTACTCTAAGACAGTGGGTACCATGTGCTGCATGTTGTTCCTAGAGAAACAACTCAGGGAAAACAAATTAATCTTGAAGAAGAGCAGACAGCTCTCAAAATTCTGCTGCCACTGTTTATATGCCAATTGGTTTAAGGTACTATCACAGATGCAACGTAATTTAATTTGAAGACTCTTAGGCCTTGTTAGTGGGCAAATCCCATATTACTCATAGGCCACAAGAACACCCTTTCTCCTGGGTCCTCTTGGTGCATAATTAACACCTCTGAAGAGACTTTTCAGCCAACATGCATGATAACCCTCCAAGAAGGCAATCTACTCTGTTGAATTTACTGTGTTGATCCAGTACTCATCATGTCTGAAAGGCTGTGAAAGAGATTATCAAATGGGATCTAGCCTCACTCTATAATCTAAAGTAGAGACATTCATTTAGTAATAACTTTTTTTTTAAAGAAGAGAAGATCAACAATCTTGATTTAGTTCCTGTGGTCGACCAAGGGATTTCTCATAGCTGAAGAAAACGAACAAAGGCATTTAAGTTCAGATGAGATTTACAATGGGCTTCACAAATAGGAGTGAACCAACCAGAAGTTTGGCGGGCAACCCATTCATCCATCCATCCTACGTCAATAGCCTGCTTTCAATCTGGGGTTTATGTGAAGACCTAGGATGCAAAGATGAATGCAACAGACTAACTGACTTTGAAGAGTTCACCCTCTATTATTCCAAACTGTCATGTAGCATTAACAGATCCTATGACACAGAGAAAGTGCAATGTTAGTTGCTCAGTCATGTCAGACTCTTTGTGACCCCATCGACTGCAGCCCGCCAGGCTCCTCTGTCTGTGGGATTCTCCAGGCAAAATTACTGGAGTGGGTAGCCATTCCCTCCTCCAGGGGATATTCCTGACTCAGGGATCGAACCTGGGTCTCCTGCACTGCGGGCAGATTCTTTACTATCAGAGCCCCCAGGGAAGCTCATGATGCAGTGAAGTGAAAGTCTCTCAGTCGTGACTGATTCTTTGCAACCCAATGGACTATACATGGGAATGGAATTTTCAAGGCCAGAGTACTGGAGTGAGTAGCCTTTTCCTTCTCCAGGGGATCTTCCCAACCCAGGGATTGAGTCCAGATCTTCCACATTGCAGATGGATTCTTTACCAGCTGAGTCACAAGGGAAGCCCCATGATGCAGAGATGAGTGCTAGTGATAGAAATCAGTACAGACTGTTGTGGGAGCACAGAGGAGGCAGATCTAACTGACTAGGGGTCTTAGATCAACTTTTCAGTATGGTTCTGCATTTCCATCTTCTAAAATCAGAAAGTATTTCTCCAAATTTGGACCAAAATTTTGTCCTTGAAAATGGCCTAGCAATGGATGCATCAAAGTTGCTGGGCATTCTTCCTTTGGCCAAAATCACTGTTTTGCTTATATGTGTAGTCTC